ATGTGAAACTTTATCTTTATCATCCTGTCTACATCTGATAATGAATATCTTTCATTTTGATTTTGTAAAGGACTGAGATAGACAAGATTTTTGAAATATGTATGATGCATTAGTTAATAGAGTTTCTTCACAAATTTACTTTAGCAGATGGGATACGGCAGAAGTTGATTGCTGAGGATGCCTCACCGCAGCTAATGGTAATAGCAGCAATACTATGGCTGTTTTGTTTTGGTTAAATACCCTTTTTGGTCCCTCTACTATAGGAAAAAGCCCCTTTTTGATTCCTGTACCAAAAAAATCCCCTTTTTAGTCCCTAAATTTCAAAATCCGGCCCCTTTTTGGTCTTTCCGTCAGTTAAGTGACAGAGTGACACTATAATCTGTTAAATATTTTGTCTTTTTTCTTTTTCATTATTGACGTGTTATTACACGCTAATCAATAGAATGCCACATGGAAAAAATTGATGATGTGGACTAAAACAAACTTGATGGCGTTTTTCTTTTTTCATGTGATATTTTTTTCATATTTAAATAAAAACTCACATAATTTATTATTATTATATTCTTTTTCTTCTTCCTCTTTTTCTTCTTCCTCCCTTCTTCTCTCTTATCCCTCCGCCCCTTCCTCTTTCTCAACCTTTTTCCTCCGCGAACCCAGCAAGGGGGTTCCATGAGGAACCCAAGACCTGGGTTCATGAAACCCAAATCTGGGTTCCTCGTGGAACCTAGTTGCTAGGTTTCGCGAGGAACCCAGTAGCGAGTTTCGCGAACCCAGCTATTGGGTTTCGCGAACCCATTCCCAAATCTGGGTTCCGCGAGGAACCCAGTAGCTGGGTTCGCGAAACCCAGTTGCTGGGTTCGCGAAACCCGCAAGGACCCTTGTTGATTTGCTGTAGTTCTTTACCTTCTTTCATGAAACCCAAATCTGGGTTCGCGAAACCAAGTTTGATCGTCGTTCGATTTTTGTTTGTTTTACTTTAGTTCTTTACCTTCTTTCTTTTGATTGAAACGCATTATGTAGTTTAGATCGTGTTTTCTTTGAATGTGTTACGAAATCGTGCTCGATTTTGGTTGATTTGCTGTAGAATAGCTGGAAGTATATGAAGATGGAATTTGGAGAGAAAAGGTGCTCTGTTGAGCATAGGCTGTGATGAGCAGGATCCCAGATGCCCATATTGGTCCCATTCTGATCACAGATTTTAGTTCTTCTACTCAATGAACAGTGTTTAATCTCCATAGATTGGGAGATTTTGTGTTGTCTTCTTCTGTCACGATGGCTGCCTTATCTAGAAATCTACAATTCAAGCATGTATGACATTAAAATTATGTTGTCCATTTCCCTCTCAATCATGTACCTAAGTCCATTATTGCGTTTGTCTGCTTTCAGACATCAAACTTGCAACTTGTGTGGTTGTGTTTCATGAACCCAGGTCTTGGGTTCCTCATGGAACCCCCTTGCTGGGTTTGCGGAGGAAGAAGGTTGAGAAAGAGGAAGGGGCTGAGGGATAAGAGAGAAGAAGGGAGGACGAAGAAAAAGAATATAATAATAATAAATTATGTGAGTTTTTATTTAAATATGAAAAAAAATATCACATGAAAAAAGAAAAATGTCATCAAGTTTGTTTTAGTCCACATCATCAATTTTTTTCCATGTGGCATTTTATTGATTAGCGTGTAATAACACGTCAACAATGAAAAAGAAAAAAGACAATATTTAACAGATTATAGTGCCACTCTGTCACTTAACTGACGGAAGGACCAAAAAGGGGCTAGATTTTGAAATTTAGGGACTAAAAAAGGGATTTTTTCAGTATAGGGATCAAAAAGGGGCTTTTTCCTATAGTAGAAGGACCAAAAAGGGTATTTAACCTTTTGTTTTTAATGGTTATGCCAAAGGCACGAAAGAATATTTTATGCAATTGTCTTACATGTTAAACAGAACAAGGGACTTGAAGATAACAAAACAAACCTTGATGAAGGCATGAAATCTATATCAGATCAACTTGGAAATGATATGAATCTAGAAAGTTACAGCAGATGTTCTTGCCGGTCTCAACCTTACCAAAACAAATGGAAGCATCTTTATTCAAAGTACAAAATGAGCTTCAGAACTCCCTCACAAAAGAAATACAGGTATGTATTCAATTGACGTGGAACCCCAGAATGTGCAACAGTCCAATTTAAATGCCATGTTTAATTTTTCTGGCTATTGTATTGAGCAATAAAGTATACTAAAAGCTCATCCTTCTTTCTTCCACAATTAAATGGGACCT